GCGTGCACTACCCACCGCGGTTTTGTAGGCAGCTTCAATGTAGAACACGAGGTTCTGGATAAAGCTGACTTCATCCAAGCTGTGAATTATGTGCAGGCCTGGAACAGAGAGAAGAATTCACATCAGCCACTCTAAGCCCACAGGTATTCCCAGGATGGGGCTGCAGTAACCCAGGGATCCCTCCTTCCCCCTGCATGCCTGCCCGATGGGAGCCATGTCCTGGCTGACTCCCATCTCCAATCCCATCCCTATGGCTGCACTGGGGTTTCAGACAAATGAGGGCTCTTGGAGAGATGAACATCAAGGGGCTCAAACCCACTGCGGGTGCTGGGAGCATAAGAAAGCAGTGGAGTCAGGGAAGCCACTGCAGCAGCTTGGCACCCAGGAAGCTGCACCCAAACTGAGGCTCTGGAGAGCCTGGAGACCAGCACGCTCAAAGCTGAGATGGCAGCCCCCAACAGCAATACCTGAGGCTGTCATTTGCGCCAGCATGAGCAGGTAAAGGGAGGTGGCATCCAGCTGCAGGTGACCCCACTCGTTGTCTCCCACCACAGTGGCACAGGTCTGGGTGTTATACTTGGCATGCAGGCAGTCCTTGGTGCTCTGGCTGTACTTGAAGGCCTCCACCTTGTCCACCTAGAGAAGGGTAAAGGCAGGCAGGAGTTCATAGAATCCTGTCTCCAGAGAGGCCTGGCATCTCCCAAGCCAAGGGCTGCCCTGTGCCAGGAGCCCAGCATGTGGAGCCAGGCCTGGCAGGGCAGAAATTCCACAATTGCTGGGCTGCCCCTCTGCTCACCGAGGCAGTGAGTGGCTCACAGGCCACTGCAGTGCAGGGCTGCAGCTGTGGAGGGCCCATGCCACAGCTGCACCACACAGAGAGAAAGGGTCACCCCAAATGCCCTCAGGAAGGAGAGCTGCAGAGCCCTAGCGCCAGCCAGGCCATGAGACAGGCAGCAGCTGGCAAAGGCTCCACTGGCCACCAGCCCACAGCACTGGAACTTCAGTCACAGCCAGGGACAGATGCTCACTCAGAATTTATTTCAAGACTTGCTGGAAGGGGGCCTTCCCTCTGCTCGTCAGGGAAGGTTGGGGAGAGCTGGTACAGCTAGGATTGACAGCCTCTGTGGCACAGCTGGGCCTTAAGGAGACCACCTGACACCCAGAGGTGCTCCCCAGCACCTACCTGTCTCATCATGCACTGGAGCAGTCCTCTCATCAGCTTCACCACGCTCTGCAGGAACAAGGAAAACAGCCCTGTTAATCTCCATAAGCCCTGACTCAGGCTCAGCTGGCCGCTGACCTTTGCAGGGCTCGGCGTCTGTAACCAGAGCCCCTGCTCGCATTTCCACAGCCCCTGCTCCCGGGCAACAGCAGAGGGAAGATTTCTTGGCCTGCCAGCAGGGACAAGCTGCTGTGCTATGCAGCGGGACAGAGGGCACAGCTGCAGGACACGGCTCCCCAGCCCATAGGAGGACGGCTGTGGCCCCAGATCACCCCGGAGCCAGAGGGCCGGACCCTCTGGCTGGGCTCCAGGGTGCTCTGGGAAGAGCAGGTTCGGACATCCCTTCCTATCGCCTCCCGCGCCGGGGGACAGCCCTGTCCTCACTCTCACTGCACGCCCCCCCCCCGGGTCCTTGGCCCGGCTGTCCCAAAGGCGGACCCGCCCGAAGTGGCGGCACCCCCGGGTGCCCCCAGCCCCGCCCGGGCCGCGCTCCCCCCGACCTGCTCCAGCTCGTAGGCCTTGGCCTTGTCCTCGTCCCGGTCGGCGTTCTTGCGGTAGGCCAGGCCGAGCCCCCAGACGGCCAGGATGCTGTACACGTTGTCCCGGACCCAGGCATCCCGGTGGTCGGCGCTGGCGGGGAGCAGCCCCGTCACCGCGTCCTGCGGAGGGGACACACGGTTCCCAGGTCACTCCCGTGCCCAGGGGCCGGCGGGACACTCGGGGTCCCGGGCCCACCCCCCGCTCCCGGGCAGTGCCCGCACCTGGTGGCGGAGGATGGTCTGCTGCACCAGGCGCGCGTAGCCGTCCAGGCGCACGCCCGAGTTGCTCCGGCTCCTCATGGCGGCGGCGGCAGCACCGGCACCGGCACTGCCGGGACGGGACGGGGCGGGACGAGTCCTGCCAGCGCCCCGCCCCGCCACCGCCCCGTCCCGCCTCGCACCGCCCCGCGGCACCGCCCGCAGCGCTGCCCGAGCACCGCCCGAGCACCGCCCGAGCACCGCAGCGCTGCCCGAGAGCGGCCGCCCCCAGAGCCGCCGCCCCGCCCGCGGCCGCGGGGCGCTCACTGCCCTCAGTCACGGCAGGACCCGCCGCCATGGCCGCACCGGCGGGAGCGGCAGCGCCGCCACGGCTCCCCCTGCCGGGCGGAGGGCGAACAGCGCGGCGGGGGGACACGGGGACACACGGGGACACGGACGGACACACGGATACATGGATGCACGGACACAAGGAAACACTGACACAGGGACACACGAGTACGCGGACACAGAGACACACGGACACATGGATATACGGACACATGGACATGCAGATACATGGACACACAGATGCATGGACACAGACGTGTGGATACGCGGACACACGGACATGAGGACACAGATACATGGACACGCGGACACAGGGACACACGGACATGGGGACACGTGGAGACACAGACACACGGATACACGGACGGACACACAGATGCACAGATACACGGACAGATGGATACGCAGGTACATGGACATGCAGATACACAGACACACGGATAGATGCACAGACATGCAGACACACGGATACACAAACACATGAATAGAGACATGGACACGTGGATTCACACACACGTGTGCCAGTGTGGAAGGACACACGGACTGGTGTGGAACTGCACAGGCACCCAGAGGGACACACGCACTTTCCTGAACTGCTGCTCCTCCATCCCTGTGGCAGCACCTGCCCCACCACCAGCACGGAGGAAATCCCTCTGCTGGGGCAGCCTCTGGGCACGCGGGGGTACCCAGGGAAAGGGCCCAGCCCAACAGGCACAAGATCCCATTGTCACAGTGCATCCGAGGGCACAGGGCTGGGACAGAAAAACTCCAGTGCTCATCTCTCTCCATGTGCCCAGCAGGTCCAAGGGGGCCTGGCAGCAGGCAAGGGTATGGGTCCCAGGCAGGGCCAGCACCAGGCACTGGTATCCAGGGGTGTCCAGGGCTGGGAGCATGCCCAGCTCCATGCCTTTCATCTTCCCTTTACCTGAATGAGTCAATACCACACACTTAATGATTGACAAGGCGAAATCTATCCCCCTGGGTCAGGTCTGTAAGCTTGCAAAAAAGCAGAAGTCATTCCCCACCCATGACCAAGATGTAGCTGACTGGGGACAAGGGGCAGGAAAGGAGTGTGGGTCTCTGTGGCTTCTCTCTCTGCCAGGATGGGACAGAAATTTCGAGGCTGGTAGGAAGGGGAGGGATTTGAGCTGACAGCACCCTGCCCAACAGCAAACACCCACAGGAAAAAAAAACCTGCTGAAACATCTCCATGGAGCTTGGGCCAGCAATAACAGATGGGGCTGGAGGCCAAGCAAGAAGAGACCCTGGCAAGAACCACAAGCTGAGGATGCAGAGACAGCACCCAGCTGGTAGGTGGCAGTGCCACCAAGCTCTGGTGACAAGGATGACAGCTGCCACCCTATGCCTTACTGCTCAAAGAAGGGAAACTTAGCCCCAGCACTGCAAACACAGGGCATCACACCCAGCAACAGGCATGTTTGCCTGCAGACACCTCCCCAAAATAGCCCTGGCAGACAAATGCCTTGGCCACAGACAGACAGCCAGCCCAGGGAGATGCAGCTCATTGCACACACAACCCCCTGCCCCATCCAAGTCCCATAGAGGGAGATGTGGGCATCTCTTGTTCCCATGAGGCAGCTGCCTGCAGCCACATCTAGTCCCTTCTGCCCTGGGACAGGTCTGTGCTGCTCCTGCTTGAACCAGCTGAGATTTACCCCTGCATCCACCTCCCACCCAGTGCAAGCACAAGGGCAGCCTGTCCCAGGAGGAACCTGCTGCACACAAGGGACAATGCAAGAACAAGCCAAGATGGTCTTTAGCAAAATCCATCAATTTATTTATTCACAGTCAAGCAATAAATAGAGGAAAGTCAGGCAGTGGGGGTGCTGAGAGCAGCACAGACCCTTCTGGGAACAGGGACTGCCAGGAGCCCAGCAGAGCCCAAGGCCTGTGGGACAGCAGGAGTGCAAGAAGGCAGAGGGACACCACAATGGGAGTCTGACTCCTGGGATAGGGCAAGACCTGAGCCCTGCTAGAGGGCAAGGCAAGGAGCTGAAGGACAAGTGTTTTGGAGGAAGCAGCAGGCAGAGCCCAGTACAGGCAGCTGCCTGGCCCCTAGCACTGGGAGCAGAAATGGCAGCTCAGGTTCCTCCAGTGTCACAGCCCTCCCCAGAACAGAACTGCAGGGGAGGAGAGAGGCTTCCTCCCCCTCTCCAGCCCAAATTCCCAGCCCAGTGAGATGCCACTGCAGCTGAGACTAGACAAGATGGGGCACATGCGAGCTGGGAAAGAATCCCACAGGCACGGTCACATCAGATCCCGACAGCACCAATGTGGTGCCAAGCACAGAGACACATGGACTGCTCGCCCTCCCTGCCCTGGCTTCACCAGGAAACTCCCAACCAACCTCCTGTGAGCTTCATACTCCAGTTCAGGGACACAGCTCATCTCTGGGAATATCAGGCCAAGCCCCCCTGCCCACCAAAACCAGGCAGCAGCCATGGGGGCTGCAGGAAGGACAGATGCCACAGGGCAACCACCCCAGCACAGGCTCCTGCCTTTAAAAACCCACAATTTACATAAAACTGTCATTGTAAAACCTCCCCACAGAGCAGCGCTGCACAGGGAGGGGAGACGAGCAGAGTGAGCCCCAGGCAGAGCAAGATAAACATTGAAGTCCAGATCCACAGGAACAGGCAGAGCCCAGGGGTGCTGCGCCGGGGCAGTGGGAATTACCGGCAGGTGCAGGACTCTGCGATCATGTTCTCATACTCCTTGTAGAGGATGCCTCCGTTGCGCTCAATCATGAGGACACTGATGGGGCTGTAGCGGTAGGGCACACAGGAGGGCCGGGGCACGCTGGCGTCCACCAGCTGATGAACAAAGCTCTGCACCACGGCGTGGTTGGGCGCGTGGTAGTCGTAGCGGAGCAGGTGGGGACAGGCACCCTTGCAGTAGCGGGGGTTGTAGCGGTGGGGAGCGATGATCCAGTGGTCCCATCCCAGCTGTGCAAAGCTGACAGAGAAGGGGCGCAGGGAACAGTCATTCTTATCCCCTCCCTGCTCTCGCAGGTAGTTGGGCAGGTCCTGAGCCAACGTCCCTGTGTCACGCCGGTGCCGGTGGGGCTCTGCTGCCGGAGGTGCCAACCCTGCCTGGGTGTCATTAAGGTAGAGCAGGAGGAAAGGGCGACTGGGGGCCACCGGGGCATCGTGGCCTCCTGCTCGGCCAGCATGCACACAGACATGCCGCAGTGCCAGGCTCCCCGTGCTGCTGTTCCCCAGGACCAGGTAAGGGGTGACGTCAACTTCAGCCCAGCCATGGCGGGGACGGGCGGCAGGGCTGAGCAGCACCCCAGGTGCCTCGCCGGTTGTCACCAGCTCCAGAGCGCAGAGAAGGCGACCATGGGCCAGTGACAGGCTGGGCAGATAGACCACAGAGGCTCTGAGCAGGTGCTCAGCCTCAGGCTGGCTCTCCAGGCGGTAGGTGAGGGGCTGCACATACCAGCGGCCTGCAGGAAAGCAGCAGTCAGTGCCCCCTTAGCACAGCGCAGCTGCCATCGTGCAGCAGCACCCCTTTCTCCCAGCCCCACACAGCACAGTGGAGCCTGTGGCAGCCATCTGCCCTAGCACAAGACAGAAGCAACAGCAAACAGCAGCCACGAGCCATGGCTGGCTGGTAGGGTGAAGGGCAAAGAGAGTCTGGAATGTTCCCATCCTCTGCACCAACACCACTGCCCTGGCACAGCAGCAGCAGGTGGGATGGGAAGGGGAGAAGGGCACACAGGCCCAGCAATGTTTTTTCCCATCTCACCCCAGGGCAGGGAGAGCCTGGGACACCTACCAAGGGGAACCCCCTGGGCAAGGGCAACCCCAGCCAGCCAGCCAGGACACTATAGAGAGGGGGAGGGAAGCAGGCAAGAGACTCCCTGAGGGCTCAAGCCCACACTGCTGGCTTTGCTAAACCCCCGTGACATCCTCGGTTCCCACCTGCCTCTTACCTGCCCAGGGCTGATCCCCGTGGGAACTGGCCTGGACCAGGCGAACGGTGTTGGTGCCCAGGCTGCGGCCGCGGCGGGGGCGGCCCTCGCGGTCGGCGGCACGGCGGTACAGGTTCAGCATGTAGCGCAGGGGCTGCCCGCTGGCTGGCCCCGCTCGCCAGCCCGGGCTGCCAGGTGCCCGCGTTTGCAGGGCCTGCAGGAGGGGCAGGGTGGGGACGGCGGGCAGGGGGCTGGCGGGCAGCGGGGACTGGTTTGCAGCCTGGGACAGGGGCACAACAAGAAGGAGGAGGAGGAGAAGGCTGGTGGAGGAGTAGAGCAATGCCATGATAGGTGAGTGCGTGTTTGAGGGGGGTGAGTGGGGCAAGGTGGGGCTGGTCAGCAGCAAAATTAGGAAGAAGCTGCAGTCATGCTTCTCCCCACTGGAGAGGCAGAGCTGGTTGTGGGCACCAGCAGAAGGATCCAAGGGTGCTGCCAGCTGCTATCAAGCCAGGACAACCATGCCAGCTGCTTCAGCTTGGCACAGGAGCAGAAAGGGTGGGGGGGAGGACTCTACGCAAAAAGGGTGCAAATTCTAGACTAAAACCTAGACCAGGAGAAAAGCCAGGGGGACAGAGCCTGGCTACAGGGGCTGTAAAAGTGCTGAGGTAGGGAAGTGAGGTGGAGGGAGGGAGAAGTGGAGTGGGTGGGAGGACCAGTTCACTCAGCCCACCTGCTCCTGGCCAGCCTCCTCCTGCAGGGTAGGAGGTCCACCCACCCAGGGCCCATTTTAAAGGCATGGCCCCAATCAGGGTTTAAAGAGGCAGGAGCAACCTGGGTCCCAGGGGAGGGGGGCTGGAGCCTGGCAACATAGTCTGCTGAGGTGAGAGCCCCTCCAGCTCCCTTACCCTGTGCTGACTCTCCATCAGCAACCTGGCACCTTTGTGCCCATTGCTGCAAGCTGGTCTACGCTGCCCCAAGCAGGCACAGAGCCTGGGGGTCTGCTCCCCAACAGCCCTGCAGGACAGCCAGGCTGCCCAGCACCTCACTCTCCCCAGCTGGGAGATGGACACTAAGGCACACGGGGGGGCAGAGCAACCTTGGGACCAGCAGCTCTGAGTATGGCCAGGTCAGCCAGTGGCACCTCATTGCAGGCATCACCATGCCATCACCATCACCATGCCTACAGCTTTGGCTCCCTCGACCAGCTTCAAGGTCTTTCTGCCAGCACTTGCCCAAGGCTGAGGGGGTTGTGAGCATGATGCCCACCATCTCGTTGGCACAGGCCATTTGAGGCACTGTCCATCCTGGGGACTGGTGCTTACAGGGTGCTTGCCTGGGATAGGCCCCGTGGGCACACTACAGAGTGGGGTATGAGCAGCTGCAGCCCATGCCCCCATAGGGCAGCTGGTGTTGTGCCCAGTCCCATTGGACACTGCTGCTCTCCTGCTGGGATGGAGGGGTTCAGGGAATGGTCACACTGTTTGGGAACCACCCTGTTTGGGTGCAGGCTGAGGGGTGTGCTGGTGTCTGCCTTGCCCCAGGTGCTGCCCACCCTTCACGGTGCCAGCTGAGCACGGTGCTGAGGGCTGAGAGGGCCGTGTGGGGGGCGTGGTGGGGGCTGTGTGTGGTGCTTAATGGGCTGTGGGGCCACGTGATGAGCCAGGGCACAGAGCCCTCACGCCTGGCCAGGCAGCCCTGGTTATTCATTTGGGAAAGGGCACAAGGGGCAGACGATGCAGTGGAGGCTGGGAAAAGTCCAGACCTGGCATCAGTCAGCCATGAGTGAGGGGCACGGTAAGGGTGGTGGCAAGGCCATGGGGGAGAGGAGGAGAGTCATGTCAAGGGGTGGACATGACTGATGTCATGTGGGTAGCCATATGAGAGGGGCCCTGCATCACTGTTGGTTGGGCTCCAGCACCACAAACAGCCCAGGTACAACCCCACCCTGTGCCCTGGGACACCCTGGCACAAGAACAGGGCACATGCACTGGGCTGCCTGCAGCTGGGCTGGGCAGGATGCAGACAGAGTTTAAGGCAGGCGCTGGTGGATGGGGGTTGCCAAGAAAAGTTCGAGGGACCCTTCCTGCACTGGGGCTGAGCCAGCCTGCGGTGGCCTGTCAGCCTGGTGCTGCAAGCCCACCCTCCCGGGCCGTGGCAGGCAACCGTGGGCCGCAGGCGTTGCTGGCAGGGCAGAGCTTTCCAGGCCGGCTGTGCTGTCTGGGAAAGAGATGAGTAAGAGCCGTGGCCCCGGGCGGGAAGGGGAGGAGCAGGACTCCCGGGCTCCCCCGGGAACCAGTGCTGATCCACTCCCACCGTCCTCAGCTGCCACCCGCCTCCTTCCCCTGTCTCAGTTTCCCCAAAGGGTGGCACAGCTGCCCCTCCTGGGCCTGGCAGGGAAAAGACAAAGGTGAAGCAGGGCCACACTGCCACACGTGCCCTGAGGTGCCTGGCAGGACAGGGGCAGGGTGGAGGCCAGCATGGGCAGGCCAGACAGGAGCCAGCAGCATGTGCTGGCCCGCAGGCAGCAGAGCTCGGGGCGCCAGCGTGACTGCAGGGCGGGGAGCTGGGGGGACTGCATCACTTACTGCCACCCCCTTGCACCCACACGAGTGCTGCCGAACTGCCAGACACACTGTGCCACTGTGCTAGGCTAAGCTGTGTCGAGCTGGCCCTAATGCTGCGGGTCCCTGGTGGCACCATACTGTGCTGGGCCAAACTGGGTTGTTCTGAGCTGAACTGTGCCAGGCCAAGCAAAGCCAGGCCAGGCCATGCTGTGCCAAGCTGAACTGTGTCAGCCCTGCTTGTCCACGTCAGCCCAAGCTAAACTAAACCGAGCAAAACTGGGTCAGGCCAAATGGAGCTAAACCAGGTGAGGCCCCTGATCGTATTGTGCTGTACCGAACTGAACCGTTCCATCCTGTGCTGAGCTGAGCCGAGCCAAGCCAGAACGTGCCAACCCAGCTGAGCTGCACTGAGCCATGGTGGGCTGAGCCATACTGGACCAGCTAACCCATGCTGGCTCCCTGTCATCCCACACTGAGCTGAGCTGTGCTGTATTGTTCTGCACTGAACTGTGCCAGCACTCCGTGTCATGCCATGCTGGGCTGAGCTGGACGGAGTTGAACTACACTGGCTAGGCTGTGCCAAGCTGAGCCAAGCAGCTCACTGCAGGTCCCTGGACTAAAGGGTGGTGTGCCAAGCCAAACTGAGCTTAGTAGCAAGGTGCTGCACTGTGCCATTGCATGCTGAGCCGTGCCACGAGCTGTGCTGAGCCAAGCCGTGCCACGCTGAGCTGTGCCGCGCTATGCTGAGCCGTGCCATGGCAACACCAAGCCGTGCCATGGCAATGCCAAGCCATGCCATGGCAATGCCGTGCCGAGCAGGGCCGGCCGCCGCCGTCCCTCCGCGCCTTATTGGCGGCGGCGGAGCAGCCCCGGTGCGGGTCGGCCCCGCCCCGCACTCGCCCCGCGCCGCTCAGCCCGGGCGGGCGGGGGTGTCATTTCCTCCGCGGCGCGGGGCCGGGCCGGGCCGGGCCGGGCCGGGATGGGATGGGGCTGTAGTTTGTAGCCGCCATGGAGCGGGCCGAGGGCCGGCCCGGCGCCCCCCAGTACGTGCATGTGCAGCTGCAGGGGGGCGCGCCCTGGGGCTTCACGCTGCGCGGCGGGCTGGAGCACGGCGAGCCCCTCATCGTCTCCAAGGTAGGCACCGCCGGCGCGGTCCCGCGTGGGCTCCGCGGCATCCCCCCGCCACGGGCCTCCCGCCCGTGGCGGGGCGTGGGAGGCGGGAGGGGGGACACCCGGGGCGCGGCGGCGTCGGGGGTTGCGGGGAGCCCCGGGCGCGGGGTCGCGTGTCCCGGCGTGCTGGGGCGGGGGCGGCCACCCCGCACCCCCGGCCCCCGCGACCCGCCGCTCAGAGCCGCGGGGGGAGAGCGGGAGCGAGGGGGGCGGAGGGACAGCCCGGGCCCGGCGGCAGGAAGAAATTCCTCTGGCACATCCGTTGGGCTGGCGTCGGGGGCGGCCCCCGCGTTCCCCCCCAACACGTCCTCGCCGGTGCCGTCCCGCGGGGCGTAGCCGGGGGAGGTCAGCCCCCCTTCGTGTGCCCACCCGTCGGTGCCGCGCCCGCGGGCGCCTCCGGGACCGGGCTCTACGGGGACGTTGAGGGCCACGGTGTGGGGGACCAAAGTCCGTCCCGTCGCGCCCCGGGCACCCCTGGAACGCAGGGGCAGGACCGTGCCCGGGACGGGGCTGACGCCGGGGTGCGGGGCCCGACCGCAGCCGAGAGTGCGGGGTGAGGGTGACCCCCACGGCCGCGATTTCTCGCCGCACGGGGGTCATCGATTCCCGGCCCCCGCCGGCCGCATCGCCCTGCGGTGAGACCCGCAGGAAGCCGGGTAGCGGCCGGGGAAGCCCCAGCACCCGCCCCTCCGCGGTGCCCGGACGGGCCCCTGTCGCCGGGCGGTTTGGCCGCCTGCCCGCCCGGTGCCACCATCCTGCCGGGCCGGGGTGCGGCGGGCCGGGCTGGCGGCCCCGGGGCTGCTCCCTGCCCCGAGCCGGGCTGGTTGCGCCCCCGGGCCGCCCCACGCCCTCGGCGGGACGCGGGCAGCGCGGTCTGGCTGGGGGAGCTGGAAAAGTGGCTCCGGTCCCAGCCCTGCGCCCTGGGGTGGCACCGCCGGCGGGCGGGAGCCGGGGGCGGAGGGGGCAGCTGCCCGCGCCCCGACCGGCTGCCGGGCTCCTCGGGGCGGTGGGTCCCGGTGGGTTCGCCGGCTGCCGGAGGAGGGGATGGGAGGGCCAGGGGATGTTCCCCGCCGCTGCTGAGAAGGGGGGGTGGTCCTTGCGGGCTGCGGGGTGCCGGCCCCCGCGCTCCTCCGGCCGCGCCGCCGCCGCGTGTGCTCGGCAGACAAAGGGGGCTTGTTCCAACGCTCTGTGCATTCAGGGGAGGGTCCCCCGGGGCTACTGCTCCGCCGCTGTGGCCGGCCGAGGTGTGTGCGGGGAGGGGGCGGCCCCCGCCTGCTGCGCGGGGGGCCCGGGCCCCGCGCCGGAAAGGGGAAGGGCGTCCCCGCACTCGGTGACACAGTTTGGCCATTCCAAACTCCCACTCCGGGCGGGATCCCTTCCTGTGGCAGAGTCCCACGGCGGGGCTCCAGGCCCTCTATGGGGCTGCAAGCGCTCTCTGGCACAGGGTCCCCTTGAGCACGTCAGGGACAAGAAGGGAGGTTGGTGTGGGGCAGGGTGGGCACAGCTCTGGCATTGCTCTGGCTGTGATTCCTAAGACAAGTTTCTCCTGGGGCAGGCAGATATTCCTGTGAGCCATCTGGTGCCCACAATTAGGGGCCAGAGTGAGCACCAG